ATCTTACAATATTATCATGTTGGCAATCTTGCATAAGAGCAATTTCTTGCTGGATAAGATCAAAATCATCACCTGACAAAAGGTAAATTTCATTGTATGGTGGTGTCCATTTGGGCTTGGAACACCATTTATGAATGTTGTTAAGCACGATCATTGGACAAGGTGTTTAGGGGTTGCTTATATGGGGAGAGCCAGCCTGGGTATCCGAGTTGGCCCAGTTTAGGCAAGACCCCGCCTGTTATCATTTCCTACTAAATTTAATTTTGCGCTTATATGGGAACCAAGCTATGTGAGATCCTGTCTCCACTGACCCAAGATCTTGTGTGACCAGGCTGGGTAATTTTCCATACAAATGTAATTACCTGGGTTGGTTTACTCGGTCTAATGCCAGACGATTTTACTCATGCTCAATGGGTTAAACTTTTTTTGCAAGAATTATATATTTCTCACTTGCAGTTGAAGTAAAAATTACTGCAAGGAATGATTAATATCCCTTGGGCAAATTATAAAATTTGACACAAAATTGTTTGTCAAAACCATATGGTATATTCATTTCAGACAATCTTCACAAGTAGCCTTGACAACACAGTACAGTCACCTGGACAACACAGTACCGATCCCTTGACAACATTCCTTGCATTCAAACAATCTAACATTTCAACAAAAGTCGTGTTCTAAGCTCGAGTGAAAAGCTATAAGCGACAACAAGTGCGCAGGCCTAAATTTAGCAATTCTGTAATATTTACATTGCCGCCCACATCATTCCAAAAACTATGCCATCCATATCTAGTAAACATTTTCAGCTGAGTCATGCTAAAGCTGTTGTGTAAATGGGGGTTTAATATTTAACAAATATTTTCTCCCTTAAGTCAAATCACCATATTTAGTTCAATAGTTTAAGCCATGTGACAGGTATTATCATAATATCACATAATTATTGACCATGAATATTTACTGTAATCAACCACTTATGACTTTCACAACACAATATTACATGAGCAAAACAAACTTGAATTTCTGAAAGAAGCACACTTATTCGTTATAAACATTCACGCATTTCCTAAAAACACAAGCTACAGTGTTATGAAATTCCAAGGGATAATACCTCAAAAACAAATTTACCAACCGCATTGTGCAAACATAAAACGGAAGCTGGGCAATTTTAGCTGGCAGCTTCAAACGAGTAGGCACGCTCGGTTGCTATATGATATTTCAACACAACAAACTGTAAAATCTTTGAGAAAAGGTTAAGCTTTCTTGAGCATTGAATGAGCAATCCATGCACGTTTTAATGTTTTAAGTAGCCATGTAAACATAATTGCAAATTAGTGAAATTGCGACTTACCGGGTTCGATTTTAACAATTTTGACAGCAGAAAGTTCGCCAGTCAAGATAACTCGAGCCTGAACAGGAAACCAGATAAAGAAATATTCAATATAAACCCTTAGGAATTACTTGAAAATACCAAAGCGATTACATGTTTCAAAGCATGAACATAATTCAATGATTTATAAACAATCATTTTCCCGTCGAGTATAATCAGTTACACTTTCTGAAAATGAAGTCTACCACAGACAATCTATCGGTGTTTATAACTGTCCGGTCCTTTAAAAATACCTTTTATTCTCATCCTGAAATAGTCTAATTGACTAATTAAAGTTGTGTGGTATAGATAAAACGGGGTTTGTTAAATAACGAGACAGTCTAAATAGTGCTAATTTCATAATTCGAATTAAGCACAGCTCTATATTACCTTGTAGACGTCACCATATGTACCCGAGCCAATCTTTTGTATTAGATCGAAAACTTTCGTAGGATTGTCTCGCGATATATCGGCACGATGCATGCTCGTATTGAGGTGAAGAAGTCACGTTTTATAGCGAAATTTTAACCCCATCCTTGATACGTCGGCAAAGAACAGAAAAAAACAGCAAGACAGTCGAAGGGTCATTTTGCCGTGCGGGTCAAACAACCTACGGGCACAGAATAGATATTGTGCTACGGGGGTTTAGTCCCAACCTCGTACCCAGGGCCTTTGCGCGGTTCAGAGGCTCTGGTACGGGAAGCAAAGGCCCTGGTAAACACTGGTCATGTGACTCCAAAAATATTGGACATTTGTAACCTGGCCTTTGTTTAGGTCATGCTATCCCGGGGGGGGGGGGGATGAACAACTGAACATTGCAATGCAGGAACTATAAAAGTTTCAAATACAAATGATTTTGCCTTTGATTTTTAAAATATGAATGTATAACAATTGTTTGAAAATTCATATTTTAAAACAACAGACAGCAGATTTTAGGCTTGTTTTTATTTGATGGAAATTATAAACTTTGAAGTCACATGGATTTTGAATTATGCTTTAAAGAATGCAGTATATTCGAGGTAAACGATTTTATGATGCATAATTATTCTATAAAATTATATTCTCATATCTTTTAATATTTATCAGTTTATATATCCTAAATTCCAGCAGATTCGTGGCTGTCTGTTTGTATAATTAGTTTTCTTCGTTTAATTACTCCTCCATCGCTTTTGGATATAAACCCTCCTTCATGCCTGATATATTTTTTGGTTATCTCCATCCTTCACTTAGTAATTCACTAAAATCAAAATTTTCTGTTCCAGCTTGCTCAGAAAATATTCAATCTTTCATAACTGGAGTTATCTTTGGCATGTAAAATCATTAGGCAGTACCCTCAGTAAAATACTTATTTAACTGGCTGACCATTTACAGTAGTCAAAAGTTAATAAATGAATACATGCAAAAATTACAAATTAACTGCCCTCATACCAATCCATTGGTCTCTGACTCATCCAATAAATACTTAACAGAATAGAACGATAATAATAGAAAAGTGTGAAAATGCCAACGTTACCTAACTTTGTGTGACAAGAAAGTTAGATTACATTAATTTTACAGTCGGGTATTCTTTTCTTTATCGCCTCAATACTCTGGTTGATGATTCAAATGGCCCCCATAAAATTCCAATGGCCCCCATAAAATTCCAATGGCCCCCATAAATTTCCAATGGCCCCCATAAATTTTACTGGAGAAAATGTTTCCCCCACTTCTTGCCATTAAATCTCCATAGCCCCCAATTTTACCCATCCAATTAGGGAGAGTCTTGTGTGGTCACACTATAGTAATGGGAATATGGGATAATCAAATATGGCATACTTTGTTATTTTTCTCTGTCCAACACCAGACAATTTTACTTGTCAAGTGTAAGGTTAAGTGAGTAATAAAAAGTGGCTGGATATTCTAACTTTTGCTCCTTATAATTGGAGTTTGGTTGTGAGCAAAATGTAAAAAGACAATTACCAATAATACTGGCCTTACTACATCCCTATTATTTACCTTGCAACCTTGAGCAGTTGTTGTTACGGCAATTATGACATTCCAGTGTGCCAGTAAGACATTTGTCGTTTGTTTCTCTTTTAGTATTATATCGAAAAGGTGATTGCAGGGTATTCAGATCCTGGAGTGATGTGAAATGGCCATGATCTTGGGCAATTTATAAGTAATATATGAGTGGTGTAAAATAGGAAATTTTTTATTCATAATTCTGATCGACTAATAAAATTAGAATGGTGAGAATAATGATTTATGGTAGTGAAATACAAGTTGTGATGATATTGGTGATGCACAAGTTGTAATGATACTGCTGATAATGATCAAAAATATATTGTATTTGTAATGAGACATAAATAATAGAGATTGGCAGTAATGAATGTGTATGACTTGATCAATTGTGCTGGTGAGAAGGCAATATATTGCCACCTAGATGAATTAAGTCCCATGCCATTTTGTGTTCAAAACTAACTGTTCTCATCAGCTCCAAGCATAACTGGGAAAGCTGGTTTCAATCCCATTAGCTGATCTTGAAACTATGTGCACACATATAAAATATTTCTTTTTTCCCCTCATGAATTATATTGTTTGCCCAAAATATCGGTTGATTATTTCATCTAGAAACAGTGTGAATGTTGTTTGAATTTGGTATGTTCACTCTGTGCCAAGTGAAAGTGATATGTAATTCATGCATAATATGGTGATTTTTGGTTTCAGGATGTAAAAAATGAAATTTACTTACTGATAAAATTCAGTGTAACCATATTCATTAAGCCTCTGTGTCTCTCTTAGAAGCCCTACCTCCTCAATACAAATAAAACTCTGCATAGTGACTTGTGCCGTGACTAATATTATGTTACAGCTTTGGTTCAAATTTCATAAATCATGAACCGATGTACAGTAACTGCAAATACCCCCCCCCCCCTTCCAGACAAACAGAAATATAGATGATACATCCCAAAAAATAAATATGAAATTAACTCACACACACAAAGGTTTCAAGATACTGTGTATAATTTCATTCACAACTGTATTTTAAACTACATACATACGGAAACCAACCTGTCACTCGACCAGTTAATTGTTTCAAAATATTCTGCTTTGATATTAACTACATGTTTAATACACATGATGAATTTCGTTTCCATAGATGTCCCCTCTGATTTATCCTTCCATAAAAGTACAAAAAATCCCAAGTGATATTCTTCGGTCAATACATAAAAATTACTTATAATCAACAATGTTTATTTAATTCTTTATAAAACGTCGCACACAAGCAGCTGCATTGGATACAAAATAGACAGTTTAAAGACAGATCACTCGACTAGGTTTCTCTCAGTTTGAATGTTTGATCTTCGTCCTTCGATCTTTGATAAGTATTACCGTTAGCTATTCCACAATTTGTTGAAAGAAAGCTCGTAGAATGCATAGATAATATATACCCACTCTTAAATCTCACTAGGAAAGTTTTATTTATCATAATAATATGAAAACTCGAAAACATCGCGCCTTCGCGCTGCCATGTTTGATAAAATCAATCGGCTCCGCTCCCCCCGGATTGAAAACTAAATTATTACGAAATGTCCAATATTTTTGGAGTCACATGACCAGTGTTTACCAGGGCCTTTGCTTCCCGTACCAGAGCTTCTGAACCGCGCAAAGGCCCTGGGTACGAGGTTGGTTTAGTCCCAGGGGCGTTTCTCCTGCACTAATTCTTGAATTCTTGGAAACTTGAAATTCCGGAAGTGGAAACAATTCATAAAATATTCAAAATGGTGTCAAATCACTTCAGCAGAGCTGATGTTTTTTACAGACGAATTATAAGAAATACCTTTTTTGCCAAAGGATGGGGGAGTTTAGAAACGTACAGAGGTTTACAAAGATTAAAACGAGACCTGTTTAACGCAGAAAAATTTAAAGAAATTGTCCTGAGCGAGAGTGTAAGAATCGATAAAGTGAAAGAATCGTCAAAACAGGACTCATTTTCGATCCTAGATGGGCATTTTGTGTCCCCTTTAGCGAAATATTACCCAGGGTTGCTACCGAAAGAAAGCGAAATAGCTTATTTCCAAGCTGTTATTCCAAAGAAGCACGGTAGCAATGGAAAACAGGCCATGTGCATTCAGCTTGCTGGTACAGGCGATCATCACTTTTGGCGAAGACGAAATCTGGTTGCAAAACCACTGATCAAAGAAAATTCAATCGGGTCTATCCTTCTTGTCAATCCGTTTTACGGATCCCGTAGGCCGAAAACGCAAACGAGATCAAGCTTGAATCATGTCGTTGATTTGTTGTTAATGGGCTGTGCCCTGATCATTGAGACATCGGTGTTATTGAATTGGTGCGAAGACCAAGGATTCGGGCCGCTGGCTGTGACGGGCGTGTCGATGGGTGGGCACATGGCGTCTCTCGCAGGAACATTTGTTCCCAAACCTGTGGCAATTATTCCGTGTTTAGCATGTACAACAGCATCGCCTGTTTATACGAAGGTGTGTGGGCGTGTGTGTATGAATTGATGATAGATGCAGGGCAAAGGTCATATTGACGTATCTGACCCAACCCTTTGTCTCGGCATTTGCCAAAGCATATTGATTATTGAGACTGTTCTTACTTGTCTTCGCAAAAAAAATCCCCAATTTTGCCGAGGTAAAAATATAGGCCAATTATGAGGGCTGACCCTTTAAATATATGGCTATTTCTTTTAGCTGTTATCCACAGTCATTTGGGCTATATTTGGAATTACTGGGAAAATATACTTACTATGTTGACAAGTCTTTGATAGCTAGGCTAAAAGAAAATTGCTAACATCCCTTCGACATTGGAAAAATTAATTATAAATACGGAATACACATGCAAAAGCAGTGTTTCCACTTTTTAAGTTTTAAATTTCCTTCAAATTGCGATAAAAATTTAAGGAAATTTGAAATCACAAAAGTTGTAAAAAGCCCAATTTTGTTATTTATTTCGGTGTATTCTCTAATTCCAGACAATTTTACTTGTGGAAATTTTGACAAGATGTTTTTTTTAAATTTAATAAAAAGTTTCTTTCTAAACTTTAGGGTGTGTTGAGTAATGCTATTGCCTGGCCTGTATTGGAAAAACAACTTGAAGATACAGCCTTTCTCGAAGAACTTGAACATATCTGTCGTATGATTGAATCAGATGGCTTGAATGCTAGAAATCCTGCTGGTCTGAATTTGTCAGCTTTTTCACAAGAACTAACAAACGTTATGAACAATCCTGTGAATTTGACGTCAAAGTCCGAACTGGATTTTGGTATGCTGCATGCAAGCACAGTTAGCAGCGATCGAACGATGTACAACAACTGTGAATCAGTCTCCTTTGAAATGCTTGCAAAGTCTTTTAAGACACAGCTTGAGAATAATATCAAGAACAAAATACCAAAAGATATCTCCATTTTAAGCTCGATTCTTCGGAATTCCAAGGAACCAATGAAATACGAGAAGGCAATGAACTTCATAACATATTTGTTGGATATAACCACTCATTTGGCTTACTACAAGAAACCTGTAGATCCAAGCTTAGCAGTTTTTGTTCAAGCTCAGTTTGATGGTTATATTCCAAACATGGATTGTCCATCTCCATTAGAGATGTGGCCAGGCTGTCAAGTACAGTATGTCGACTCCGGACACATATTCGCCGCTCTGTATAAGCAAGATGTATTCAGAAAAATAATTGCTGAAACACTAGACAAATTCTGACAAGTAGTATGGACAACACATTTAGGTTTAATTTATTGATATGTAATATTTATCAAAGTGCTTACCCAAATATTATTGAATTTTTAAAAATATTGCTTTTTCACTATTTAAGTTTTTAATACAATCATAAAATATTATAAAGCAAGAAGATTTATGCATTACAATGGACCTATTACCTATTAATGAACAAAATTTTGATCTAGACAAGTCTAGACAAAAATTTCATCACAGCTTGAAAGAGCATCACAAAATTGGTAATATTCCGAAGTTTCGTTGCGAAATGTTGTAAAATGTGGATAAAGGCGGTTTTCCACTAAGCGAACAGCAAGTTTTCCACAAGTACTCAGATGGAACTAAACAGAAATCTTTTGAATTTGAACAATAGAAATTTCGATTGGGTCGAAAAATTTCCCCTAGTGGAAAACTGCCCTGCGAAGTTTGACGTTTTTCAGTCATTTTGTATTACGCACGGGAAATTGATACCGGCTTTCCGAAAAAAGGTATCAATTTCCCGTGCGTAATACAAAATGACTGAAAAACGGCAAACTTCGCAGGGCTATAATATCCGTATTTTACAACATTTCTCAACGAAACTTCGGGTTATTGCTAATTTTGTGGTGCTTTTTCAAGCTGTGATGAAATTTTTGTCTAAACTTGTCTAGATCAAAATTTTGTTCATTAGATAATAGGTCCATTGTGCGAGTTTACTGACATTTTATTGGCTGTTGGTGCTGGTATTCGGTCATTTTCGAGTAGTTTTATATGGTTAACCCAACTCCTGACGTCATCAAAACCATAGTTAATAATGAGGTAAAGAATTTTTCCAAGATGGCGGAAAGCTCATTAATTTCGGTCTAAATATTTCGAGAACTAAGCAAGATATGACAAATCGGTAATAGAGTTTAATATATAATTTTAGGAGTTCTTTTGAATGAGACATACTAATTTTTTATTGCCAATGTCCTTTAAGTCTGAAATATATACTGGTATTCGAAAATTTCATCTACAAAAAAGCCAAATGCTTATTTAGTCTATCAATTACGCAAAACCATTAATCATGTGTATGCACCAATCTGACAGATTCAATCGGTGATAATCCATAGGATTAAAACATAAGTGGGATCATATATAGCCAACACATGGACACCTATTCATATCGGCTGGGAACAATAGCCTCCTCGGTGGTGAAGGCAAAAAATATATAGTAAGTTTGTCATTCATTGCACGAGAGAAACCGGCAAAAAGCGAAACAGATTACTTTAAGGAATGGACCGTTTTCAGTACACACTACCAACGCAGTATTTATGGAAAATATATTCGTTGAAATATCTAAGCAAGCCTACTTCCATCAACTGTTTTATATCACAACTGAAATTTCTGAAAAACTATTGCAGATTACTTTATGCAGTCATAAATCATGAAATGATTTGTATCGTAGTAAAAATCACTAAGCACTAACATTTCTAGGAATTGCTAGGAACGGATTTAATTACTCATGATATGATCTTATGAAAACTGTAAGGAACACTCCAGTGCCATCCTTCCCATGTTAAATTCTTGTTACTGCATAGCTCGAATAATTTTGCTTTTGTTTCTCTGCAATGACCATTTCTTTCATGGGAAAACAAGAGTTTTGTTATTCAGAGAATCGGCTAAAGATTAACACTATTCTTTTCCAATTTTATTGGATTGCAACTCTTTGTTGTCCCATTAAATTCGAACTAATCTATTCATGTTTGCTTTGGAATTAACTAGGTGCCAAATGGTATAAGCCAAAATACACTTTGCAAACCTAATTCCTGCTGTATATTGTACGAATGCTCATAACTCCGGAAGATCTTGTAAGGAAGAGATAAAACGCTTGGGAGAATTTATCAACTATATTTAAAAGATAAAGTTGAATAACCATACAATGGTAAGTGTTATAAATTGACTGATTAATTTTATTCAACGTACAAACTTCTGTTTAAAATCAACAGTCGCTAATGATGAATTTTGGCAAGCTTTTCAGATTCCTGTGACTAGTTCCATTGGCGAGTTTACACTTTGGAACTACATTTATTGATGAACGAAAGAACTGACAGCCGACGGAAGAACGCGGGTTTTTTTAAACGTGGACCAGTTTTTGGCAAAATGATGGATGATAGGAATAATAATGCCCGTAATGGGCTGGGGATAGACAAACAAGAAGAAATACGGGCAGACACGAACTCTCAAATATTTCCTACTGAAATGACGGTGGGTAACACAAACCAAAATCTACCTCAAAGCAACTCACAGCATCAAAAAAAGAAATATTCCCGTACTCTATCAGAAACCAATGTGGGATATCGAGCAGTAAGCAGTACAGCTAAGCTAAAACGTGTATTGTCTGCGACCGAGTTAAGGACTCGCTTGGCAGGCTGTCCTAAAGGATTACTTATTGCAACGGAACCTCCGAAGTCTGGGGAGTCATATCGGCGTAGATCTAATACTGATGTCAAAGCAGTATTAGGGAAGAAGCATCGGTCGAAAAATGATGAAACGCTCAGCGATGGTTTGTACCAGGAGCACACAAATTTTCAACAGGTAAACTAGGTATATAATTAATAGTATACTTCAAATTTGTTGATGGGAGATGATATTAATGGTCTTTTAGTTTCATAATCCTTTATATCATTTTTGACGTCGGGCATTGATCTTGTTGCAATTTATCAAGTATTTTTTGTTTTGATTTTTCCCACCAGCGATCGCGCGTAATTTTTTATATAAATCACCAAATCATTATATCGACTTGTTTCAGAAAACTTGTTTGAAAGTATTTAACTATTAACTAGTGTTTCGTATTTGACATATCAAACTTGACAAAATATGAGATTGTGACTTTTAAATGAAGATTTAATAACTTGCAACATTGGCCTTCAGTGTTTGTTCATGTGATCGTCACGGGTTAACAATGCATGCTGATTGTTGTAATGATGTAAGTAAACTTCTTCACAGGAGAAAGAAATCCTTCTTCTCGAACTAGAGACGGTAAAACGCGAACGGGAACAACTTCAAAAAGAAAACGAAAAACTACAGCAAGAATTGGAAAACAGAAATAAAGTTATTGACCATTTAATAGATTTTATGGTAAGTACCAGATAGACAAACTCGCGGTTAAAGTTATTTCATGACTTTAAATAATTCACATGTCCATAGTTACTAGGACAAAGGTAACTAAGGTATTACAATTATCTATATGTTGTCCATATTATATGATTCCGCGTCCAATGAAATGGAATCCAACTTATTCGGACCAATGGACCTTTCCCCTTATAACTAAAATTTTGATCTGGACAAAAATTTCATCACAGCTTGAAAGAGCATGACAAAATTAGTAATATTCGGAAGTTTCGTTACGAAATGTTGTAAAATGCGGATAATATAGCCCTGCGAAATTTGCAATTTTCAGTCATTTTGTATTACAAACGGGAAATTGATGCCCCAACACCCGATTGGGCTGTCAATTTCCCATGCGTAATACAAAATGACTGAAAAACGGCAAACTTCGCAAGGCTATTATCCGCATTTTACAACATTTCGCAACGAAACTTTGGAATATTACTAATTTTGTGATGCTCTTTCAAGCTGTGATGAAATTTTTGTCTAGATCAAAATTTTAGTTATAAGGGGAAAGGTCCATTCACATCTTGCATAATCAAATGTTTTATTTCTTCAATTTTTGTAGAAGTCAAGTCTACCAGGAGAGGCTCAGGAATTGGGAGATGGTTTTAATGAAACTTTAACAAACAACAGTCTAAACAGAACGCAATCTGTCGAAAAAGTGTAATGTACTGAGTTTCAAGCAATGGACCCTACCAGAAAGTACGCCATATTGGCTTTACCTTTGGAGCCTCGCTCTCGTATATGACATTAGTTAAATCCGCGCGTCTCTATCACGAAAACGAGGTCCTATAGCCAAAGTGACATACTTTCCGAAAGAGTCGGTTGTGTTCTTTAAACAAATAATGAAAAATATTCTTGCTCATTATGTCATTAGATTGCGAGTAAAAGTAGTATGCCTCCGCGCAAGCAACAGATCATAGTAGTTATCGAACGTATATTGAAATAATGTTGGACGGTCAGATTGGAATGGTTGGGTCTTAATGTTCTTATATAGATTCACCTTTTTAAATGAATAGTTAATAGAATAGATGGTTTGGAAACTCATTAGAATAACAATATAACTCATTATCTATGTTAGTCAACGTTTATTCATAAATCTGGTCGTTCACCGTCACGTGCGTATTGTATTTTTGCTCAACTAACCAATAACAATGTCTTAGGGAAGTTACCTATCCGTGACTCGAACAATAGGGTAAGTTGGAAATTGCTATTGGTGGATTTGGCAAAAATACAATACACATGTGACGGTGAAGGACCAGATTTATGAATAAACGTTGACTAACATAGATAATGAGTAATATTGTTATTCTAGTGAGTTTCCAAACCATCTATTCTATTAACTATAAAATATACTTGACTGTATTTATATCACATATACATTTCTTGTATATCAAATACGATTTCTTAAGATTAGCTACTAATCTGAGTCGGACGTATTTTGAGCAAACTTAGACGAATGGCCCATTAGTTGGCGATTGTTTTTTGAACTTCCATTTAGAATCGGACCTCTCGGGATGTTAGTTAAGGAGGCTGTAGCTGGTTTATCTCGAGTGTCACGTCCCATTCCTACAGCGGTAAAACTCGACGCTCTCGCTTTTATCTGACTGGATAACTTAGCCACGTTTGCCCATCGCGATACTCCCGGTTTCTTTGGGACCGGATGTGACGTCAGAAGCGGATGTGACGTCAGAGGCGGATGTGACGTCACAGGCGCGTGACTTGTACTTGGTGTAGACTTGAGTAAAGGTGACTTACCGCTGCGTGATTTTTTACTCCGTTTCGCATTCGACGTTTTTTGTTTGCGACCATTTGTTATGTAATTGTCCATTAAATTACTCAGCAGAGTCAGGTCAGTTTGAATGGTTGCTAAAGTCTGTTCGTGTTTGTTTTGAAGTGACGTAACCTCTGCTATATTGCCAATGATAACATCTAAATCTGACTTACTTCCTTTACCAATCTTCTTGCTCAGTCGCTCGGTCAGGATTTTCTTCATCTCATTCAAACCGTCCAGAATCTGACGGAGGATCCTCGTTTGCGACACTTCGTCTATGACGTCATCTTCGTAATGTAATACCTGAATAGCAAGGGAAGATAAAACTCCATTTACACACGTAAAAATCTCACAACTTGTCAACAAGATGCGTTCGCAACAGGCTTGTACCACGCTTGTCAACAAGTTGCAACAACGCTGTTATTTGATCAAGTTGCTACAAGATTGTCACTCACAACTTGTTGACAAATTGTTGAATTGCAGGACGATAGCAAGTTATTGGAACAACTTGTAACAAGTCTGATGAGCTCAACAACCTTGTAGCAAGTTGTCAGCAAGCCGTTGAAAACTTGTCAACAAGCTGGGAACAAGCAGTGCGAACACATCCTGTTGACGAGTTGTTGGAACAGCATTGCCACAAGTCTGCTACAGGTTTGTTACAACTTGTGCGTTTTTACGTGTGTACATGATGCGATTACATGGCAGCGAATTCAGCCCGGTTTGAGCTAGAGCTCCAGCAATTTCTGGGGATATTTAGGAATAAATGTAGGAATCATTAAGATTAGGGGTTTTGGGTGTAAGGATTATCAAGGTTACTTGAGGACAATTGCAGACAAAACAGCCGGACCTATAGCAACGTCGTTGGATATTTTGTACAATATTTACCTCGGGACTGCAGTTCGTATGAATGTAGTCGAACGTTTTCCGACGCATTTTCTTCGAGAGGTTTCGTTCGAGTGTCAGGATCGTGTATGCTCGTTGCATGACGGCATTCGCTCGGGCGTTTTCGTAGACTCGGTAAAACGTGTCGGAAAGCAATGCTATTAACAGATTGAGTATGATAACATGAGAGAAAGTTATGTACGTGGCGCAAAGGAATCGGGCCATCACGGAATCGGCCGCTTGAAGGCCTTCGAAGTTATATTCGTCGACAACAGTCATTCGAAATAGTTGGTAAAAAAGGTCGGAAACATTCGTATATCCTCGTACGGGGATCGGCGAGATGGCCCCGAAAATCATCCAGAACGCCGCGGAATATGGAATATAGAAGACTAGAAAGAGGAAGAGCCACTTTAAGATGTCCCAGATCATGTGAACAAGCATGACGACGAACGGTCCAGTTGTTTTAAAAGGTCTTGCGTATTTCATGATCCGCAACCACAGGACGATAAGCAGGGCAGCGGTAATACGGATATGTACCAAAAACGTGATGTTAGTATGCGCGAAGTAGTCGATCATGTGCGATGCGACTGTAGCCGCTAACATAGCACACGTGATCCACTCCAGGTAATTCCAAGAATCGTGGAAAATCAATGGCGTGTGTTCGTCAAGAGATTTGATCTCTTGTTTCAAATATCGTCTTTCCTCGGGCCATTGTGGATGGCAATAACACAAATCTTTCTCGAGTTCACGTGTTCTCCAAGCTACCCATTTTTTATGGTCGTGTCGGCTCCTCCATGTGTGAGATAGCAAGTTCCGAGTCTCGTAAACAGTTAATACAAATATACATATCTCCAATGTGACTCGCCACCACACCTTAGACAAGGGGGTGTACCTCTGATCTGGGTGCGGGGGTAAGGTCACCCCTAGGATAGTCCACAGGATTGCATAGATCGTGTTTAAGACAAGATCCAACCACGCACCGATTTTCCCAAACTTTTGCCATTTGACATTAATGAGTCTTTGAAATACAGGGTGCATGATCAGTTCGAACTGCTTGTGGTGGACGGCGACTTCTAAGGGTGTTCGGGTGTAAGATGTGAGCGGGTTGTTAGGCAGGTTTTCATCATTGAGTCCGTTCAGACAGCTGAGGTAGAAGTATTGTTTACGGTTCGTTCTGTCCTTAACGTGTAGTTGCTCAAGCGCTTCTGCCGCAATTAACGGCATTTTTTGAATCACCATCGAAATTGCAGACGTGCCTTCGTTATCATGGACAGCAGCCGGCGCACCTTCTTCCATTAAAACTTTGACCGATTTCGATCTGTTCAACTCTGCTGCGACCTTTAAGAAACAAAAAAAAGACGGTGACAGAACCTCAATGTTAATTGACACTCTAATAAAGTCTGCCGTCGTTTGTGTCTGAATGATCTGAAAACGATATCTCAATTGTATGTATGTATGTAAAATTTATTTGAAGACGCTAGGCTCATCAACAGGTGTCGATTTTCATGAGGGGCGTCACAAAAGATATCTCAAACGTGGTGGTCCATTGTAGGTAGTATTCTATAATGAACTGCCGTGGTTTGTGTCTGAACTACCTGAAAAAGATATCTCAGACGTGGTGGTCCAGTGTAGGTAGTATTCTACAATAAGCTTCCGTTATTTTTGCCTGAACTACCCGAAAAAGAGATCTCAAACAGGGGGGTCCAGTGTAGGTAGTGTTCTACAACAAACCGCTATGGTTTGTGTCTGAACCACGCAAAACAAATATCCCAAAGTGGAGGTTCATTGTAAGTAGTATTCTACAATAAACTGCCGTGATTTGCGTCTGAATTATCTGAAAAATACTTCGGACGTGGAGGTCCAGTGTAGGTAGTATTCTACAGTAAACTGCGATGGGCCTGTACTCTGGATGAAAATACAGTATGTTGTCTTGTTGAACGAAACGTTTAATCATGTGTTATGAGGATTATACAAAGTCTTGCTATTTTATCTATCTTACCTGTAAAGGTGTTCTGTTTTTGTGGTCTCTCGCATTAATATCCGCGCCGTATGCTAATAGCATTCTAATTGAATTAATTGCGTCATTCTTGGCAGCGTAATGAAGAGGACATTGATTTTCTCCTTTAGTCGTCACCGTGTGATCGCAGCCATTTTGAATCAGGAATTCTACCATCTCAGAGTAGTTAACGGCTGCAGCAACGTGGAGGGGAGAACGACCAAATTTATCCGACTGGTTCACGTCTGCACCTTTAGAACATTGGAATTAATATTGAGATTAATGTTGGTCATCATTTGAGTTATTATCAAGTCCTAGGACTGGATGAAGTTCTGATCAAGTCCTGGGATTGGATGATGTTTTGATCAAGTCCTAGGACTGGATGAAGTTTGATCAAGCCCTAGGACTGGATGAAGTTTGATTAAGTCCTAGGACTGGATGAAGTTTGATTAAGTCCTAGGACTGGATGAAGTTTGATCAAGTCCTAGGACTGGATGAAGTTTGATTAAGTCCTAGGACTGGATGAAGTTTGATCAAGTCCTAGGACTGGATGAAGTTTGATCAAGTCCTAGGACTGGATGAAGATTGATTAAGTCCTAGGACTGGATGAAGTTTGATTAAGTCCTAGCACTGAATGAAGTTTGATCAAGTCCTATGAGGATTGGATGAAGTCTGGTCAAGTCCTACTAGGACTGCATGAAGTTTTGATCAAGTCTTAGGACTGGATGAAGTTTGATCAAGTCCTATGAGGACTGGATGAAGTTTGATCAAGACATAGGACTGGATGAAGTTTGATCAAGTCCTAGGACTGGATGAAGTTTGATCAAATCCTGTAGGACGTTATACGCAACTTGCCAAGTAAATAAACTGCCTTACCATGATCAATGAGAAACTTGGCGACATCTGTATGCCAGGATCTTGCTACTTCATGAAACACGGTCTGACCATGTTTATCAGCCGTGTTTATTGACGCACCGTTCTTCAATAGTGACTCGACAAAATCATAGTCCATCGTATCACTGGGATCATTCGAGCTCGCCAGTTTCGCAAAATAATGAAGTAACGCGTGATTGCGCACTTTCACTGGTGTTCGCCGTTTTTTCGACACCCCTGAAAATTAAGTACAATTTTTGTAACAAGGGAAGCTTTGCGTCGTATTAGCACAGTGTGGTTACCTTTTCGCTAACATTTGTATTTCTTGTACCTTGAGCAAGTTACAACCACTGGTCATTTTATTTGTTATATATGTCGTCAAAAACCATTAAACTAGAGTAAATTTATTTATGGTGGACAGCTATACACTTGATTGTTCTACATAGTGGTTACGTAAAGACCATCCTTATTGGTCTTTGATATAAAATATCTTACTACAGGACGAAACTGGAGTACTCCAAGAAATTCGTGTAAAATATTTTCATGGATGGAATTTCGAGCGCAAGGTGACTGGATTTCAATGGACCATTTGCATTATAGACTAAATTTTTATCTCAACAAGTCTAGATAAACATTTCATCACAGCTTGAAAGAGCATCACAAAATTTAGTAATATTCCAAAGTTTCGTTGCGAAATGTTGTAAAATGCGGATACTATAGCCTTGCGAAGTTTGCCGTTTTTCAGTCATTTTGCATTACGCGGGTGAAATTGACAGCCCAATACTCTTTGGGGCTGTCAATTTCCCGTTTGTAATACAAAATGACTGAAAAACGGCAAACTTCGCAAGGCTATATTATCCACATTTTACAACATTTCGCAACGAAACTTTGGAATATTACTAATTTTGTGATGCTCTTTCAAGCTGTGATGAAATTTTTGTCTAGACTTGTTTAGATAAAAATTTAGTCATAATGCAAATGGTCCATTCCTGTAATATGCATTTGTCCGATCATAATTTCACCTCGAGCAGTCGCATGTGAGAAGAATGCTTCCAGTTTGAGACTTTATCAAACACCGCATGTGGTTTCTCCAGATAATCATATCATAGAGCCATCTAGCATAAATAAAGTTAGTTTAGTTGCAAGATAGGGGTTGTGAGAGTGTCGAAACTACCGCCCTCGCGCCACCTCTCCCCAAGGGTATCTCCTTACTCGTTCCAGTATTGTCTTCCAATTAACACAGTACCACCAACCCTTCCCCCCCCCCCACGCTTGCTTTGTCCCCCACTCCAAAGGTACCTTCTTACCTGGTTCAGTTTCATCTTCCAATTCGCTTTCCAACACTGCATGCATTGGTTCATTCGTCCTCATGTTTGATCCAGGCAAATTATTTAACAACATCGTTTCATAATCTTTAAAATCATTATTGTACTTTCTGTTGGAAGACAGGTCCCTCCATTGTTCATTTTCCTCGCGACCTTCCAGCATCGTGGCATGACCATTGGAATAGACCTCTCCTGGGGAATCTTTTGTTTCGTGGCGATTCATTTTGTGTGCCTTCAAAATCTTTAAAATAAAAATATTTGCTACATTGTTTAATAAGCATGCATAACACGACATAACATTTAGGCTTAGCATAGGGCTAGTGTATACTATCAAAGTTTCTGTGATCACAGTAGGAATTTTGCATAGGTAAATTCTAAGTTTCGAAGGATTTGTAAGAAATTTTTGAGGCGTTAGTTCTCTCGAACATTTCTTACAAATCCTTCAATTCAAACTTAATTCTCTCGAACATTTCTTACAAATCCTTCAATTCAAACTTAAAAGTTAACTGTGCAAAATTCCTACAGTAATCACAGAAACTGTTATAAGTGTAAACCTGCCTTAACAGCAGATCAAGTGATTGAAATGTTCCATTGTTCTCTCTGTTCACTGTTCTCCATGCCATCCAGTTGTTTTTTTTACTTATTTTAGCTTTCTGCAGAGGACTCTCTTTTCTACATTCTTTGAATTGTTTCATTTTCAAGAACAGGTGTTAAATTGTTTTTCTAACCGAGGCATTATCATCAGATATCAATCAGTTACTAGACATAGAACCCGCGCGTGGAAAATTGTTCGTAAAATATCCTGATATAATGAATGTAACTAGATAATTAGGCCCCACAAGCATTACCAGCTCTTGGTAATTAACGTAATTTTATTTAGCAGAAACATTTTCGTACACACAAAGTCGAAGACATTTGTCTGCGTGGTATAAACACCTGTCAATTACATTTAAAATGAGCCGTGGGATGAAATGCCACAAGTGACGCCCTGGAATACGGTGAAGTGGGACGTCACTAATTAAAGTGATAAATGTTACATACTCTCATTGTCTTTCGTTAAAAACTTGACGATAATTTACTATTTACAACAAGCGTAAGTTCAAATAAAAATTTTTTCATAACTTTCAAATAAACTACACAATTTTGAAGGGAAAAAGCATGACGTAGTTTATTCTCTCTGAAAAAATATAGCCAATATTACCATATAGTTGGTCTATAAACAGGCTCTAGTCTAGTTGTTAAGAAGAATAACAGCACGTCGATGCCGTTCTTGCCAAATTCGCCATAGGCATCGAAATAGTGCAACTTTGGTCAACTTCGCACGAAGCCTCGTCTTTAACATTTTTTGGTACTCTTAATTCAAATGCAAAGCAATTTGGATCGATATAGACCAAATGGATGAGGGCTAGTGAAACTGCACGTTTTGTGAAAAAAAAACAACTTGAAGAACAACGATAAGATTTTTAAAGATAAATATTTTGCGAGATTTTCCCTAAGGCTAAGAAAATAATTTTAAAAAGACTAACAACGTAAGCGTTGTATCAGTGCATGTTAATAACCTACCACTGATCTATATATTATTCAAGTCAGTGGTTTATACAACACACATGCGCATTGTTGCGCATACGCATAAACGCATTTCTACAACAGATAGCGCAAGCGCATCGCTCAGTCGTCATAAACCCGAGACTCAAAATAAAACCTGAGACAACCAATTTATTGGTAGTTTCAACCAATTCGTTTTTACAGTGTATTAGTTAGGTTAGTCAACTGTTACTGCTATCTTAAATTTCACGCAGTTTCATACACGCATACCAAAGCCTTCTTATAGTTGATGACACATTTATATTCTGCCATCTTAGATATTATTATTGCATCCGGTATACTTTCACTTAGCAATAATATACATAAACAAGCCACTTACTGTGTGCGCTTTACTTGAAGACCAATTTCTAATGGATCTTTCTTCTTAGCATACTACAAAGCACCCCTAGAAAAACAGAGCGCAGTATTAGCGAGTTATACCCACGGGATACAACGCGGCTGATTAAAGCCAATACCGAATAAGCATCTAAAAAGATCATACATATATAACTACCTACAAAACCTTGATATATACCAAATTTCAATCTTACCCAGCATATTAACAGTCATTGATACAGTGTTTCTGTCATTCCATAGCTTAGAACACAAAAGTAAATCTTCGCAAAATACTTCATAAGTACATCAAACAATTCCAAGCCATATATGCCGACTTGATGTGATTATAGTCTAACTGTGCTTAGCCTAATGGTCCTTTCTTGACTTGCGCACATCTGGTTTCGACTTTATCTCTACTCCACTTTAATTATTGCTTTAATGAAGTGGCGTTGATCCAGTATGTGTCAATATGAGGGGACACAATGACGTAACCAGTGCTAAACTTCACTTTAAATACAGCCAAAAAGGCATGTAATCTTATGAGGGCACCCTCAATTTTCACTACAAATAAATTTAATCCAGAATGTTAAGTTTGAATATAGAAGAAACTGGCTCATTTTTGCTATAAAAACTTTGAATTGATTTCAACATTTTTGCACTCCTCTTTCTGAAGGAGCACTTTTCAATTTAATTTAATTTAATTTGATTTGTCACAATTCATTTACATATACAAACAAGATTACTGACACTAGTATAGAACATGCAAAAATACAACATAGGTGTGACTGGAGAGAGGAACAGGACTTGCGTCCCAATTGACACCTAACTCCTAATAAATGACTATACATCTACCAAACACATTACATGAATAGGAAACCATGCCATAGGATATTATAAAGTTAAGGACAGCCAGGAGGGCTGTAAAATAGCAGTCGTTCTTTATACATTTTACGTAGTCTGGAACTGAATACAGATATTGATGTACAACTTTTAAGTTGCGATGAGAGGCTGTTCCACAGATTTGCTAATGATTTTTTTCCTTTGATTTGCCATGCAGACCTTTCAAAACTGACAATTATATTTATAGGGCTGTGTTTTTGTCTGGTTTTTGCCCTATTTCTATAACCACTGCGCGGGAAAATAGCTTTTTATATAATTTAGAAAGGTATAACTATTCTCACTCGCCGCATTCAGGAGTAACAATGATCTCGAGGTAATGGACAGTATCGTGAGGGTGAGGTGATGGATAGTGAGGGTGATGTGGAAGTGAAACCGAAGGAAGTGAAACCGAACGAAGTGAAGAAAGTGAAATGAAGGAAGTGAAACCGAACGTGAAATCCATGCTGGTCAACAGAAATGTCATTGAGAGCCTGTGAATGATACTGAATATAATGTGACGGAGGTTGCTATAGTCAATCCTAATTCCCTGTCCCATTTCATACCAGAGCGTAAGTCTCGAGTCTGAAAGATGATTCTTAAATTAAACACGTTTTCAGTAAAAAATATGTCAGAGTGTTGACATATACGAAGAGTAAATAGCAACCCAACATGTTTTGTGACTTGTTCTTTAGAAAATTCATTCTTCAGTTTTGAGTTTTATTAGTCAACGAATCACAGAACGTGAACACTAAAATTTGGACACAGACGTGGATATCAATAAAATAAATCCCAGACATCCACCTAGATAACAGCAAGTTGGAAGATGCTATCAGAATCAATTTAGAACATTCCGCAAAGTTTAGACGTGTTTATCTTTTGTTTGGTTGATAATGTGAAATTAATTTCTTAGAAAGCAGCAAATTGCTTTCTTGGAAGCAGTTTTAAGGCGACGAGGACGCCTTGAACTGCACATTGTGAGAAATGATAGACGATTAACAATCCAAGTATTTTGTGCAAATTTATATTCTTGCCATAAAAACATAAAACAAAGTTCCTTGACATTTTTAAACTTTTAAATTTCTAAACAAAATTACAAACATTTATATGCAATATGAGTTTCTGTAATGCACAATGTTCCAGATTTCTGCTGTGCAGGTATGGTTATATTTATGTACATTTGGTGCTGATACAATCTTTGTCAAAAGGTCGAGAAAAGTTTGCCGGCAGCCGATGGTGGTCAAGGGGCAAGTGAGCAGAGAAAATATGTTAATTCTTATACAGTGGTGGCAAAATAAATAGATTTGGAAATGTAGGTAAATTTTCTTGCTATTATAAATGTCAAAAGTTATAAAGTTGTGCAGTGTACACCATCTGGTGCATTGTCACGCTTAATCAATCAATCAATCAATCTCGCTCTCATTAGTAAATTACGCAATGTAATTGGCTCACGATTCATGAGAGCGAGGCTCCCAGGCGAAATGACGTAATTATTGAAAGGGTGTATTCACTTGTGCAAGTCTCGTGTGTCTTTAAATCAGGACTGCTTTTCTTTCATTCTCTGAGAACTTTGAAGAGATGCATCGTCGTCAACATTCAATCCAAAATTTGTTACTCCTTCGTCAAAATTTTCGAACTGCTCAGCTTCGTCACTGCTTTGATGCGTCAGCTCGCTAGTGTGGTCGTCGTTCATAAGTCGGTCGGAGTCGGAGTGATTGTCGGAAGTGTGCGACTCGGTTGCCATGGTTTCTGTGCGCTGACGTGATTCAGCCAAGCTGTCTCGACTTTCCTCTGAGTTTGCTACAGTGTTATTAAAACCGTCCCAAGTTAATTTAGGGCTATCCTTTTTAGTGGTAGTTTTTTCAGCGTTATTCACAGTAGACTGAACAGCCAATATAGAGTCAGACGACTCAGGCTGTCCGTGTTCAGGAAACCTTTTCAAAGACGGAGTCATTGACTGTTTCTTCATAAAAGACGTGTACATTTCTGGGTCATGTTGAAGCGAAGCTACACCGCATTTTCTTCTCATCGGCAAGCTAGACCTCTGCCCCAATTTTGGTTTTGGCGATCGACGACCTTCGCTGCCCGATCCACGGGAACTCGCGTGTGATATACGAGGACTCGCGTGAGTCCCACGAAGACTCGCGCGTGACACACGAGGGCTCGCGTGTAGTCCGCGTTGACTTGCACCCGAACCGCGAGGACTGTCCCCCGACACGCGTGGACTTGCACGTCCCACGCGTGGACTAGCGTGTGGCTCGTGCGAACTCCCAGCCTTTCGACTTTTTACTGAGGATTGCTTGGACGATCCAGAACTCTTACTACCGGGAGAATCTAACATGTGGAAAAAATTCTCCAACTTCATGAGATGAACTCTGATCCTTAGAGAAGCTTCTTGGAGATCTTGTTGCGATTTGCGGACATTTTTAACATTTTCCATGATCGAATCAAAGTCACTTTTCGCCTTCATGCCACAACGCTTCCCCAAGCTTGCGTGGACAAGATGAAACATCTCCTCGACCTCGGCAAGAATGTTTTTATTGGTCGCTTGAAACGACAATTCGTTTTCCCAACATTCGTCTTCGTACGGCAACACTTCCGGTGAACAATGAGTGATGACGTAATCATGCACTTTCTTACGTCGTTTCCGGCTTAGCGACCTCTCCAGGTTTAGAATGATTTTGGCTCGTAGCATAACTGCATTCGATTTGGCATTGTCATAAACTCTCTGAAACGTGTGGGATAACAAAGCTATGAGGATATTAAGAATGATCACGGCTGAAAGTGCGATGTATGTTCCACATAATAGCTTGGCCATTGTGGCGTCTTGGTCAGCAAGACCGTGAAAGTTGTACTGGTCCACTACAGTCATACGAAAAACATTGAACAGTAGCTCAGATACAGTACCGTAACCCTTCACTGGCGTGGGGCTCACCCCTCCAAACACCATCCAGAAACTCGCACTGTACGGGATGTATATAATAAAGAACAACACGGCCCATTTCAAGAAATCTGCAGTAATATGACCCAGGATTATCACAAACGGACCAGTTTGTCTGAAAGGTCGAGCGTATTTCATAATTCGGAGCCACAAGGCAATGAGGAGGCCAACAGCGACTCTCATGTGTACCCTGTACGCTGTATCAGAATTATAGAAGAAGTTAATGACGTAAGTAAGGACTGTCGCTAACAATATGGCGCATGTGAACCACTCAAAGTGATTCCACGCATCTTTAAACAGCAACGCCCGCTGACCACGTAGGGACTTCAATTCCTGTTCGAGGTACCGCAGTTCTTCTGGCCAGCGGGGGTGGCAGTACTCCTTGTCACGTGACAGGTCGGTTGTTTTCCACGCGATCCACGATTGGTGTTCCTTCCGACTGCCGTAAATTTCCAGGAACTGCTTACGTGCTTCATAACACGTGAAGAGGAAGACAATAATTTCCAAAACAATACGCCACCATTTCTCCCCCAGGGGATTATAGTGGTCACGTGGGTGCCTGGGTTGCGTCACGCACAGAATAGTCCAGAATATAGCATAAAACACATTCATCAGAAGGTCGCCCCACGCTCGTATCTTGCCATATTTCTTCCATTTCACGTTAATAAGTCGTTGAAACACCGGATGCAACAGGATTTCTGATTGGTTTTGTAAGACCGCCACCTTTAAGAAGACAGGAATTTATTGCAATCACCAAAAAATTACAGGTTTAGAAAATGACACATGCAGTCGTACGATCCTGATACTGAAGAGAGAAAACAAAATGCCCGCATTAGGTGTCTGTTTTATAGCCGAGGTTTTTAATTACAACTTGAGTTGTACTGTGTAAATCAAGCCCACAACTCGCCTAGGCTATGTTGTTGTAGGTGAGTAATTGTGTGCTTGATTTACACAGTACAACTCAAGTTGTAAGCAGGTTGCATGCGACAGTCTTAGGCAAACGTTGTGTAATGTAAATCGGCCTTGGGCATCTCTATAAATTTCTTGAGGGGGAGGGAGGTATTAGAGGAAAGGGCTGATAGAGTGGGGACTTAATCGAAGATTTACAGTAACTGTATAGCTAAGTTACCTCCAAGGGTGTCTTGGCGCGAGTAGGGCCATCATCATCGCGACGGGGTTCAAGGCAGTTGAGGTAAAAGAATTGTTTGCGGTTTATCCTGTCCTTGAGATGAAATTGATCCAAGGCTTTCAACGCCACAGA